TACAGGCAGAGCGCATTCAAACTCAAACTGGACTTGAAACTTACTACCTTGGAGACTTCACTCTCTGATGACAAGATACTTTGTGTAGCTACTCCTCAGGGATTTGTACTTCCTCAGCTTGACCCGACTCGAGATGCAGGTCTGTTATTTGCCCTCCCCCCATACCGTTCAGTAATTGTTGCCATTGCAGCTACTACTTCCCATTCATTGAGTTCCAATGGAATCATCTCACACCAGTCCAAACACCTACCACTCAGACACCAAGTATCTGATTGATGGAATCATGGTGACAAGGTCATGAAGGATTAACCCTGAAAGATGCATATAAACACTGCTGTGCAAGATAAACTTTGCCAAATCTTCGCTCCAAGTGGACACACACCTTATCTGATCATGTCTTGGGCCAGGAAGTACAGCATTTCTTTGGTGGTCATTGCTTCTTTTGAATAACTGCTGGAGTGATCTTCTAGGTGCAAATGGGTGGGGTTTTGTTTGTTTTGCTTTTTGACACTGACAAAAGTAGAAGAGGTCCTTGGGATCTCCCACCACACTTCCAGCAAAGCCAAAAAAAAAAGGCTTTTCAGTATAATTGGTTGCTCTAACAATTGACAAAACTCTAAAGGCATCATGTTAGTGGACACACACACAAAAACAATATTCGGCCAAAGAGAGAAGCCTCGAAGCCTCATTGAGTTCTTAGCTCCTTGCTAGCCAGCAGGAGAACTGGCCTCACATCTGATCCAAATCTTTCATTCTTGCCATCTCTAGTAGTTTTGGGAAAATAAGACAATCTCATTTGGGGAGATTTAAAATGATTTTCAAGTAGAGCACCAGCATCAATGGCTCATACCTGTAATCCTAACTACTTAGGTGGTTGAGATCTGAGGATTAAGGATTGAAGCCAGTCCAGGCAGGTAAGCCCTAAGTTCAAGCCCCAGTGCTGCCACATTCACACACACACACACACACACACACACACACACACACACAGAGGTATATGATAAATACATGGTTTTCAACTTTTAAAGGCTTATGACATATTCATGCTTTTCTAGAAGCATGCTCATCTTCTTCTGATTAAAAACATAACATAGTTTTTTAAGAAAAAGATCCTAGATCTATCACTTATTCCCTTACTACCCCAGAAATGAAAGTTGATAATGAAAACAATAATCATCATAGTCCAAAATGAAGCTTTTAGACTTTAGTTTGTCCTAAACAAGCTCGTCCTTGATCTAATCATTAACATTCTCTGGGAAAGTTTATTCAGCCAACTAAGATTTTTACTCTAGTAACAGCTCACTTGTGTATTTTCAACTTGCTGACAAAAATATCAGAAAAAACCAGTATTCCAGGGACTTTGTGGACAACAAGCCCTTGAGCACTGGTCCCTTTAAATATTCTAGGAAAAAAATAGGGTTTCTTATTATTGTTATTAACTGTTTGTGTGTTTTGTCCTAGTGAGATATTAAGCTCCATAGGGCTGTGGATCTTACCCTCAACTCCCACACCCAAGTCTAATGAAAAAGCTCCTGCCTAGGCCTCCATTCTGGTTTCTCATCTGTCCCTTATTCACAGTATATAATTCTGTGAGTTGCTCTGTCTCTTCGCACTTACCTTCTGTCTGATTAGAAAGCCTTTCTCTCCTTTCCCTGGATTCATTACTGATCACCAAGAGAAATTATATTGCTTCATTTCCTCAAGGACACCTCTCCATTTACCATGCTGCATCTCCACCATAGGTCTTGCCACACCTTGCAATCATGTCTTTACACACTGCATGAGTTCCTTGATGGCAGGGTTCTGCCTCTTGCTGCGAGCCCAATACATGACATTTATTATGTGATTAAATATTATGTCCTTCCACCTATTTCAAATGATGAGGAAGAGCAAACACTAACAGGCTGGAAGACTGAATCAAGAAGCCTGGACCTCTCTGAGCTTCTAGTCAACCTTTGAAACTTCACTTTTCCAGGAGTTCTGACCTGTTTTGGAACCTCAGCCTTTGTCTTTTCTGAGCTTGAATATGAGAAGAGACTTTGCCAACTCCAGGAAAATCTCTGACAGACATACAGGGACCATTACTTACTGCCTGTGTGCCAGATTCTGTAATAGAGGCAAAATGGGGTGAGTTTCTGTGTGCAAGATAAATGGACACCTAGTGGTTTTCTGTTTTTGTAGTGCTGGGGTTGGAAGTCAGTGTCTTGCACTTCTCGGGGTGGTTTTGTTTTTGTTTTTGTTTTATTCCCTACATAGCCCCAAGACCTGAAGTAATGCCTCTCAAAAATGTTATTAAGATCATTAGTTGTGTCTGTGCAGATACTGCTCAGAACCTAAGGGAGGTACAGAGAACCATCCTCAAGCCAAGGACCGCCTTCTACCAGGACAAGAGCTCTGGCCCTTAGAGAACAGTCTTCGGAACTCTTCACGGGCTGTTTTTCTACCCTCACCAGACTCTATACAAGCCCAAGGGCCACAATCTCCTTCATAAAAACATAGAGACAGCCTGAGTCTTAGCTTCAGACTCCACCCCATACTGCTTTCAGAGCCTCTCCCTGCATTGTTCCAAGATCCAGTGCACATGGCCTACTTTCCTAAAAGCTGGGTGTCTTTGGTCTCCATGGTTCCCTAGTGTCTTCCTGCACCCTTCACAGAGTTCATATTCTTGTTCTTGGAAAGACACTCTGGAAGTCAGCATTCTGTCCTTCACATATGAGAAGGGGAGAAGAGTCCCAGAGGAAAGTCAGCTATGTCTCCTGTCACATGGTCCTCTATCTGTCAGATTTCACTTCTGAAACTCTCCAGGGCTCCCTGACTAACCCTCTTGGGTGAAAGTCAACACACTTGCTTAGACATGTCTGTAAGAACTCCAAGTATCTGTACCTACACCTCCCTCAAGTGTATATTCCTTGTGGAAATGGACTGTGGCTCAATCGATGTTAAATGAATGTAGTGTCCTAGGCCAGAGGCAAGTGACCCAGCAAAGCCCAGCAAAGCTGGGTGACATCTCACCCAGCTCTCTTCCTACCCCATCCTGTGCCACTTCTCCAAAATCACTCACTGCCTGCACTTAAGTGTCTTCCAGTTCTCTCTCTGGCAGTTATGCAAGAAAAATTCAAAAGAGTAATTGATAGACACAGGAAGCAGCACAGCAGCCCTCAAGGAGAAATTCAGGCTAGTCACAGGACTAGGGAAAGACCAAGAGTATACACAAGAGACCCTTGGCCAGAGAGTGAAGAGTAGGTATTAATCCCAGTCAAGATCCTAGAGAAAAGACACAAGACATGGAAATCTACAGGGAAGAAACAAACACACAGGATAGCAATGCCAGCGACAAAAAGAAGTTAAGGGTTCTGATCCTGGAAATTGTCATTGCTTTGAAGTAGTCACCAGAGGCCTAGAGCAACTGACATGAGGAAGATAAGAGTGGTCACAATGTTCAACTCTGGTCCAGAATAAGATCAAACAAGGGTCCTTCACCTTCTCGGTGGGGCAGAATAGTTTAGTAAATATATCTGCCAGGATGAAATGGGGGCAAAAGAGCTGAAGAAACTTAACAAGTACAATACCACTTCGTGTCTATTCTAAGGACTGGAAACCGTCCATTTAGGAAGCTAACTGAGGTTTCAGTTAGGTTAAAAGAACTCTGTCTAATTTAAAGCATATATGATTTGTACTGATAGAGAACTGGGTGGGCCTAGTAAAAAGCAAACACCTCATTCTGAGGGAGTCTTTGGGCTTACTTTCTTCCCCAAAGATGGGCCCGAAGAAAAAATAAAACAACAACAATAACAACAAGCCACTGGAAGTGGTAATGTGGCTCAAAGTGGTAGAATACTAGCCTTGAGCAAAAGAGCTCAGGGACAGTGCAGAGGCCCTGAGTTCAAACCCCATGACTCACACACACACACACACACACACACACACCCATCATTGTATACTTACCAGCCATGTACCAGTGGCTCACACCTATAATCTTAGCCACTCAGAAGGCTGGGAACTGAGGATTGTGATTTGAAACCAACTATGGCAGAAAAATCCCTATGAAACTCTTATTTTCAATTAATCACTCAAAAATCAGAAGTGGAGTGGAAAAGTCTCCATAAGACTCTTATCTCCAATTAACTACTCGAAAATCGGAAGTGGAGCTGTGGCTCAAAGTGGTAGAGCACTAGCCTTGAGCAGACTAGCTCAGGGACAGTGCCCAGCCTGAGTTCAAGCCTTGAACTGACAAAAACAAAAAATAAAACAAAACAACAACAACAAAAAACCCCACCTGTTCTTGGAGAAATGTTCAGTGTCCAGAGTGGAAAGTAAAGGTGGGGAGAAAATTTACCCATCTTCCAGTAAGGACAGAAAGACTAGGCATATCTCCTCTGAGGAGCAGATACTCAACTTGACTTTATTGCCATGCTTTTAGGAAGATGGCCCTTCGCAGCCCTGGTTACCCCCTTTGGAGGATTCCCTTGGAGCTGAGAAGACACCAAGCTTAGGATAGAGGACCCCAGGAGGCAGTCAGGCCAGGCTGGGAATAGGCTTCTCCTTCTTCCAGTTTCATTCTGTTTCTTTTGATTTTCCTTATTCTTATCCTTGCACATTTTTTCTGGACCCAAAGAGCGCAGAGCGTTGTGACTAGGAGCAGGAGGAGGAGCAATCCCTTGGCTAGGAAACAGAAAGTCATTGAAGACTTTTCAGGATATCCAGAATCTAGGATAAAAGAAGGAAAGGGTAAAAGTCTCATGAGAGGGACTGGCAAGTTAAGATTAAGAACTCCTACCTCAAATTCCAGAGAGGAGGTCTCAGGTTCATAATCGGTGGATATCCCTTTGCATATGTCTCTAGACATACATGTTCTAACCCACTCAAGAGACAAGACCTTTGGAAGTTGGGAGAATTAGACACCAGAAGGTGATTACCACCCCACTCCCCCACCCCCACCCCCGCCCATCTAGATTTCAACCCTCTTGGAATAGGGTTAGGCTATGGAGTCCATGTACTCTTTAGAAGACTTGGGGTTGGACGAAAGAGAGTATGTGTGTCTTGAGGCAGGAGTTTTGCACAAGCTTGAGGATTGTCTCTAGGGTGCTGCTACCTGCACAGAAGAGCCCAGAAGGGATGGAACAGGAACTGATGTTGCTGATGGGGTTGCTAGCCCTGCATGTGTAGGAAAGAGCATTTTCACCAGGACTCCAGGATGTGTTGAGGACCGGGCCTTCCTGCACCACAGCACTGCTGTCCCCTGATGAGAGCCAGCTGTAGGTCACATCCATGCCCGCTGTCTCTATAGAACATGTCAGGAACACATCACAGTGATCTTCCCCAGAGATCTCAATATTCACAGTGACTCAAGGCTACAACAGTCATCCTAGGTGAGAGGAAAACCCAATGACCCACTGAAAAGTGGTGACACCTGTTTTTCAAACCTCTAAGCTCTGGAGTACTGAAGTACTGATCCTCCTTTGACAGCCCCTTCACCCAAACAACAAATAAGCAAACACTCAAGAAAATCAACCATCATAAAACTTCTTGTTTCTGGATGGCCACAGCAACAACTGCTAAGGTGGAACAGAGCTGTTGATAGCTTCCATTTCTTCTTCTGCTTGTTCTTCCTTACTTTCATACACCCCTTTCAGAGCCCTCTTGGGCCTCATTGATCACACAAAATGTTATCACTATTCCCAAGCCATTTATCAGTAAGATTCAACATGACAGGTTGGGCTTTAGTTAAAGAAAGATACAGATTAGTAGTCCTCAAATTATACAGGGCAATAAAAGGCTCAATAAATGTTCATTCTTTCTCCATGAGAGAGAAAGGCCCCTTAGAGGGTCTTTACAAAAAGCCTCTCATCCTTCTCACTGCATTTGGGACCCTCCGTGGCCTTGCTCCAACTTACCTATCTATTGCTGTAGCTCAGATACTAGGGCTGAGCCATGCTGGAGGAAGTCTGCCTTCTACCCCTGGCTTCTCAAAGCCTAACCCCTCCTCCATGGCATAAGTAAGCCCGTGAGAACCAGGAGGGTGGGGGATGGGGGAAAAGGAGTCTAAATTAACTCACGGTAGACATGTGAATTATAATGTTGTATGGTAGAGTATGAGGATATTCTCAGGTTGACGTGAGCTTGATAAAGTCCTGAGTCCTCCCAGGTCAGATTGCTAATATAAAGAGAGTAGCTGGGCTCCAAAAAGCTCACTCAGCCCTGGTAGTGAGGGTCCATTACCAAGATGGATGCTGGCTGACCTTTGTTCCCTGGCGTCACTATACTGATTCTTTTCTGTGAGGACCAGATGATGCTCTCAACTTCTTTACTTCTCCCAGAGGGAGGCTAATTCACTCTTGAAAGACTGCAACTACTTCCTCAGGATCAACACCATCTCCAGAGAATGCTTTGGCTGCAAATGTAGGTAGAAAAGAGATAGAAATAACACAACTAGTGTCTTCTAGGTGCTGAACCTGATATCAGAAACTGCATCTATCTCTATGGAGCAGCTTCTATGACCTACACACTAGATCTTGTCCTAAAGTTGCCTCTTCTGATGTTAGATTCCCATTATCCCTGAGTTGAGCATCTGCCAGGGGTCACTCTCATCTGTCTCTTCACTCTCTAATTTTTTTCTTTTTCTTTTGCCATCTTGATTCTGCTCCCCCTTCCTTATCCCCAGACATTCTTCTTGCTTGAGCCGTCCTTGATGCCACTCTGTTCCTTGTCCAGGAAGGCTGACATTTCCAAAGGAAGGATCTCACTAGATCAATGACCACCAGACAGGAAAACTGGAGAGGAAGGAGACAGCACTATGCAGGTGTGGGTAGCCACTCATCTTCTGGGAGCAGCAGGAGGAGCAGCCATGGAAAGGCTTCCATGTCAGCAACTGTGGCCCAGTCCCAGGGTAACTTGGTCCATACTCCAGGCTATAGAGAAGACAAGCTGTTAAGAGACTGAGAGACTGAGACACTGATTGGCAGGAACCAGAGGGGAAAATAGTTGCCAACCCAACTTCCTCCATCCCCACTAAGCCTCTCCCATCCCTCGTGGAGGGAGCTACTGCTCTAGCCTGATGTCAAGATGGTTTATCACACTGACTCATGGGGCCCATCCACCAAACTCAGCTCAAATCCCTCTGTTTGATAAAGTCTTTATAGACGTCCTGTTCTTTCTATGCCTAGACCCTCATATGTGTACCACATGCCCGGAATTCTCCCTAGCCTATTGTTTGGCAATCTGCATACTGTGTCCCAGCTCTCTTGGTAGTTCCTATATTGAGTGTGGTCATTTGATCCTATACACATCTTTATCTCCCCAGATATAGTTCATTTTTTTTTGTTTCCTTTCTATTTCTCATGATTGCTGGATACATGTTCACATTCAATTGATATCTTTAGACCAGATCAATCAAAGATATTTTTCTCTGTAAGCCAAATTATGTTTGCAAATGAGATTCTATTCAGAAGAAAAAAATCATCCTATTTAAAATATTTAGAGCCAGGCACAGGTGACTCCTGTCTATAATCCTTGGTACATAAAAGGCTGGGGTCTGATGACCACAGTTGAAGCCAACTTTATCTCCAATTAATCACCAAAAGGCCAAAAGCCGAATGTGGCTCAAGTGGCAGGCAGAGCTCCAGCCCTGAGCATGTGACAAAAGCTAAGGGACAGATCCCAGGCATTCCATTCAAGCCTCTGTACTGGCACTACATTAACTAATTAATAATTAATTCATAAAGTAAAATATTTTGACCAGAATTTATCTAGGTTATCAATATTAGAGAAAGATGTTAAGTCCCTCAGATCATTGTTTGTCAAGGCTGTGTAAAATCAGATTCTGGAAGAGATCGTGGAGAAGCAGAAGCGACTTCCTGAAAAAGAAAAGAAGGAGCCCTCATACACTGTGGGTGGAACTAAAAGTTAGTCCAGTCATTATGAGAGACAGTAAAGAGGTGCTTCAAAAACTTCAAACAGAACTATAATCTAACTACCACTATTGGGTATGCATCCAAAGGAATCAATAAGTTTTCTATAGAGACACTGTATACCCATATTTATTGTGGCACTATTCATTATGGCTGTGCCTGCCTATGGGCTCAGCTATGTGGCCCATCAAAGGATGAATGGATAAAGAAAATGAAGTATATATGGCATATATTTATATGATATACACACGCACATATTATTTAGCTGTAGGGAAGAAGAAAATCATGTTGCTTGCAGAAAAATGCATGAAACTGGAAATCACATATTTAAAACAAATGAGACTTAGAAAGAAAAAATATTGCATATTTTCTCTCAAATTCAAAATCTAGGTATGTTATATTCATTGATGAAAAATTCACAATAAATGCATGATTTTGTACAATAAATGTATACAAATAAACAACAGTTTAAGGAAAGGTAAGAGTGAAAGAATGAAAGAAAGAAGAAAGGGAGAAAGGAAGGAAGAAGGAAAGAAGGAAGGAAAGGAAGAAGGGAGGGAGGAAGGAAGGAAGGAAAGGAGGGACAGAGAAAGAAAGAGAGGGGGGAAGGAAGGAAAGAAAGAAGGAAGGAAGGAAGGAGAGAGAGAGAGAAAGAAAGTGAGAAAGTAAGAAAGAAAGGCTTCCCATCAGTCAGAGCTGTCCAGAATGTGATGGATTGCCTTGGAAAGTAGTTATGTCTCTCACATTTTTCTATCTATCTTCTAGCCCCAGCTCCAGGACTAGCACTGAATGTATGTATGAATGAATGATGAATGAATGAATGAAGCAAGAAAAGCGGCGGGGAGGGGGGTGGGGAGCTACCAAGATCATGTGCAGATTTTTCAGAGTTTAAAGAGACAGCACATCAGCCAGCTTCTCTGAGAAGCAGATGGCTGGAATAAAAGAAGTTTAATGGGGGGTAATGTCCATAAGCGGATTGATGAGTCACAGCTTCAGGGACAACTTTAGGCAGGGATGCAGATCTCACAGTATGCTAGCTCAACAAAGAGTCAACCTAGAACAAGGTTGCCCAGTAAAGGAGGCCTGAGCTGGGCCCAGACAGTATGCCCAGAATGCCCAGACAGTAGTAATCACTGTGCAAGACCATCCAGATGCTGATACCCACTCTGGGCTGAAGCTATCCAGAAAGAGCAAGGACTCTGAAGGTGCTATAGCTGGAGGTTGTCAGTTCACAGCACTTCTTGCAGCTGAAGGTAAGTTTTTTCTTGAAGGGAGAGCCTAGAGGCATCCTCGCGGCTGCTACAATGAGTACACTGATCGACAGAGGCTAACTGTGCTCAGCTTTATTGAACCTGTCTCTACAAGTGAAGTATAAGCACTTCATTATCCCTATCAGGAAGAGGAAACTTACCTCTCATCCTCCCTAAGTTTTCCCAGTCCAGTCTGGAAAAACTCACTTCTCAGAGTGGTTTTCCCAGTAATGCTCATTCCAGCACATGGATTGTGACCAAATGCAACTTTCTCTCTCACTGCTCCTTTACTCTTACTCACTAGGATAGTCTTTGCTTGTCCTGGAGGAAGAGCCCTAATTTCTGGTCTTAGTTCAGAAATGAGAACTTCCTGCTTCATGTAATATATAAAGTGTCAAACCTATGTACAAGCTTGGAGCTCTTTCCCCTGGTTTGGGTCTGTCTGGAGATAGAAGTCTACAATGGAGGAAAAAGACTTCTCAGCTCTCCTCACCCTCAGCTCACCTTCCCCCCCCCCAGGTCCCCATCTCTTCACTGGTGCCCCCTAAAATCATTCCCCCAACTCTTGATTCACTCTTCAGAAAGATGGGAGTATGTGTGATAAGTAATTCTTATCTGGTTGTGCAGCTTTGCATTCTGTGGGCCTGGCTTAAGAGGTTAAAAAGTATTTTCTGTTGAGGAACAGCTTTGCTGGTTCAGTTTCCTTCTGCTTCCTCTTTCCCAAGCTTGGTCCAGAATGGCTGCATCTCTCTTCTGGGTGGTCCTTGCAACTCCCCTCTTAGTCCCTGGCTATCTGGCCATATACCTCCAGTCTCTTCTCACCCTGGTCCCTTCCTGATGTCTCTATTGTGGAGAACCATAGGCAACTAAAAACGGCTATTGCCCACCACAAACATTCTTTGCCTGACAGATTCCAAACTGCATCATGATACCTGCTGTAGCTCCTTAGTAAGAGTCAGACCTTAGACCATAATCTGATTTTTTGAGTTTTGTCTTTTGGGTTTTTTGTTTGTTTTTGTTTTCTTTTTGCCAGTACTGGGGCTTGAACTCACCTCACACTTTCTTGGCTTGCTTGACTACTTGAGCTATTCCTCCAGCCTGACTTTTTGCTGGTTAATTGAAGATGGAATCTCACAGACTTTTCTGCTTAAGCTGGCTTTGAACCCAGCTCTCTAGGTCTCAGCCTCCCTAGTAGATAGAATGATAGGCATGATCCATTAATGCTTAGCCACAGTCAGTTTTGACTGTTTTAGGTCTTTCTTAGGCTCCTGAGAATAGGAAAGTTGTATCTTCAAGACCCTTCCAACACTTCACAAGTGTTCTCTTTGAAGCCCCCTTTACCCAGCTTGTTGTCAGAGGGAACAACAGTCATCTTATGGATAAGAATGGGGACTCATGAGCTGGGAAGGTGGCTCAGTGGTAGAGCGCTTGCCTTGCATGCCTGAGGCCCTGGGTTCGATTCCTCAGCACCACATAAGCAAAAAAGAAAAAAGCCGGAAGTGGCGCTGTGGCTCAAGTGGTAGAGCGCTAGCCTTGAGCTGAAGAGCTGAGGGACAGCGCCCAGGTCCAGAGTTCAAGCCCCATGACTGGACCCCCCCCCAAAAAAAAAAAAGAATGGGGACTCACAGAAAAGTAGCAGTTATTTTCAAAGAGGCTTCCCCTCACCTCCAGTCGCTCTCTCTCAACCCTCTGTGGAATAGGAGCTCCCAAAAGGAATTAAGGGGCTCCTTAATTTCCACTGTAAATTCTCCCTTGCACTGCTTTTAGTCTTTTGACCTTCTTCACATTGCCAGTCAGTATAGTCAAGCAGGAAGAGATTCATTCTAACATCTTGTTCACAGCGCACACTCAGAGGTCTCTGTCACACAGCCCATTGATCATCTCGTGGATAGTATTATGACTACTGAAGTTTGCACCTTAGGTAGGCTCTGCTTTTCTGCTTCCTGACTTTCTCTGCAACTGAGGGAGGCCACCCAGCACATGCAGGCATACAGAGGTGCAGCTGGGAAGAATGCATGTGACCAATACATTAGCCAATGGAGCACTGAGTTGGCAAATCGATGTCCCCACTCCCCTGCCCTTCCATGGGACAATTCTGAGGCATGTTCTTTATAGTTTTTCTGAGAGATTGCACACCAGTTGTCCACAGCAGTGATCAGCTATTGACACACCTGTTAGTGGTTTTTCTCCTTTCCCTGTCTCATTTTCCTCATTCCTTCTTGGATCACCTCCCAGAAAGATTCTCTCCACCCACATTAGTTCAGGGGAAAAAACCCACTAAGATATTATTATATATGATAAAGTAGTTAGTTGTACCAGCAATGTTTAGATAGACCTGTACTTTCTTCAGTCTTGGTCTTGAAGACTAGATAAACCAATGAGAAACCTTCTACTCTAATTCTGATATAAAACTCTGGTATATAGAAAACAGTAGAAAGCTGGATGTGTTCTGATGGACAGTGTGGGAGTAAGGCCTAGCCAAACCTTTGCTTTAGTCTTCTCAGCTGCTCTTTGGAATGATGGAGACTCATAACAGCAGAGGCATGAACAAGTAAATTCCAAATAAATTACCTCCCTCCCAAGGCAAAACATATGAAGACCTGCATGTGTCTTCCATCCCGGAGACTCCTTTTGCCTTGGTGCTTTCCCTTTCCCTTTCCTCTCTTAAGTGTCCATGTTAAAAGTGTGACTATCCAGCTGAACCATGAAGGTGGCTGAAGAGAGCTGAAACTGCAAATTGTTGAAGTGTACCCGAAGGAGTCATTAAGAAACAAGAGAGAAAAAATGTTTCTCCCAGTGGGAGCAGGCTGCACAGTCGTTGAGGTGGGAGACAGCAGAGCTGTAGG